AGCTGTTAATTAAACTTGATATACTGAATTATTTTTGTCTATCAACGCGTGGGTTTTTTTTTCATTTTTTTTTTTTATAAATGTTTGTAACATTCTGGTCTGTTCTATTTATTTGCTTAATTACATTATTAACAAATATCATTCTAGTATTGTTGAAAATCAGTTGTATCCCATGATGCTGTGCACAGAGCATAGGAATTAACATTCATGCATGGCATCATGGGAAGATGTAAATGTTTTGTACTTATCTCCACTGCTTAATTGACCAGTAAATACTTTGATGATGACCACAGTGGTAAGGGGATTAAAAGCAAACTGTAGTAACATTTCCATCAGTCATAGGGGGAAATTTATTCAAAACATTAAGAAAGAGCGTGTGCACTATAAAACGTTCACTGAGAGTACCATGATAATAACAATACAATATCGAATGGGGAGAAAGTCCACAAGAGAGAAAGTAACGTCAAATGAGGAACAAGGAGAAAATGATCACTTGGAATCACACTAAGATCACTCAGAGACAAAGGAGAAAGGAGGTGTAAGAAAAAGGGGTTTAAGGTAAATGTCTCCTATTAGTTAAGGAAGGTACCACTGTTCAAGGATTTCTCATGAGTTTGAGAGGGGACTTTAATGTTGCCTACATTGTGCAACCTGTTGGTGCTAGATTAATACATTTTATTACTAGATAAATAAATTATATTACTATATCCTATATTCAAAGCATTAAGAAGCTATAAAGTGGATGGCAGTTAATTATTTGTCATCAACATCCACATCAGCAATATTCTCCCTTAGCAGAGATCATTATGACTGACCACTCACGGCCACAGCGAAACGGGCATAGCGTGGGAAAAAAGGTGAGTAAAAACAACTTTCTTGTGCGAAAGGAGTGGGGCAGGTACATAAACAGACAAAGACTCACACACCCTCTGACAGACACACAAAACACATTGACAAACACACAGAGACAGACACACACAGACAGAGACAGACAGACACACACAGAGACACACAGAGAAATGACACATACACATTTTCTCCCACGCACACACCGAGATTTGTATTTTTCTTGCAATCCACTCAGCCACCCTACCTTTGGGAGAGCTGAGTGGATCTTTCCCTGAGGTCCAGTGGGGCTCCTCTATCTTCCTGCACACGAGCGAGCAGTAAGCTACCTGCAGCTCCTCTCTGCTCCGTTGCGTTCTCTGTAGTGATGCCGGGGGCGGAGTGACATCATATTCTGGCTCCCGGCATCATTAAACCGCATGCATGGGAGCAGAGAGGAGCTGCAGGTATGTTACTGCTTCCTCGCACGCTGCCTACTATGCACGGCTGGCTCCCACACTGCCGCGGGCGGCCGGCTCCCACGCTCCTTAAAGGCCTGACATCCCAGATGCCAGGGTGAAATTTCTAGTCGCCATGGTGACCTGGCGCCGGGGATTTGTCGAGCCCTGCTCCAGGATTGCATTAAGAGAGTCCATCAATTTCAATCTCTGCTCTGGTAGAAAATAATTATACTATTGTAATTATTAGAGGTTTTAATATTAATTGGTAAAAGTGGTCACTATGTCTGAAGGGAGGTGTTTCTTGTGCCCAGAACTGTTAACAATTTTGATGTTGTATAAATGTGATTTGTCTTTTCAGCATTAAAAGATTCATGTATGTCTCTTCCAGAAAAGCATCTTCACGAGATTCAGTGTGTGTAATTACAGATAAGTGATTCTTTCTGCCCTTTACTTTTTTTGTTTAGAGCTCAGTATCATAAAGTGACTGCAAAGCATGGCCTTGTGAACCTCCCAGATTCTCACTACTGACCTAACAGGGGTGCAGTACTCCATGAAGTGTTCCAGAAAAATACTTTCTCAGAAAAAGTAAGGTGGCATGAGCTCTGTTAAGGGTGGTGTATTGTGTAAGAGATGCAAAGCTGTAGATTACAATGCTCTGGCTATGACATTGGAAAGTTGCAGTTGTGTATGACAAGGGTAGTTGATACATGTATTCATGTTGTGCTCAGCAGAGAACAATGTAAAATCCCTATCCAGTCGTCCATCAGAGAGTTCTCTCAGAGCGGGGAAAGGAATCTATGGTATCTTCTGTCCAGGTTGATATGGGAATTTCTGGAGAAATCCATGGGGAATTGAGGGGATCATTAAAGTTCCACCTAAAGATCAACATTCCTTACATAAATGTGGGAAGGTGGTGGAGAGGAAGGTGAAGGAAGTCAAGCTTGTGTGTGTTCAGTGCGTAGACATTTGCAAATGTGTACTGTCTCCACCTCTGTGTTCATGTTATTATAGGTTCTGGGGGAATGACAGTGGAAATACAAGTTTGGACTAACTAATTTAAACTCAAGAAGTAAGTTATAAGGAAAGTAAATTGAGATAGATTATGTCGCTGCCTAGCAACTAAACTGAATTCTAGGTTATAAGTATGGTTAATACTTCATTAGCCCCTAGGAAGCCTGTCAAGTCTTCTTATTACAAATAGTTTGTATGCAAACAATTAAATGGCTTGTAGGTTATGCTCAGTTCCAAACACTTTTTATTGTATTTTATTTAATATTTGTATTTTTTTTTCCATTTAATCTTTTAAGATTATTGCCAGTGCAGTAGAGAGATCAGACCCCCTTCTATTTCCATTTACAACCACTGATGTATTTTTCTACCAGCAAACATAGACTGACTTCAAATTAGTGGTTTTCCCGCTGTGTAAGATCCTGCCAACAGTTGCACAAAAAACAGAACCCAGCTGGATTATCTAAAACTAACAGTGTGTACGAGAGAATTAAAGAAACGGAATGAAAATCAATAATGGTAGAAAAGGATCTGTCCATAAAGACAGGGTCAGGAACATGTTGCATTAAACAAGAAATAAGACGGCTCAGAATGCTGAATGATCACTATTAATTCTATGGCTGTATATACACAACAAGTAATTCAGAAATGACACTAGAAAAACAATGATTTTTTAAACATCTTTGCTGCTTCATTGTCAATAAACATAAAAGGCAAACGCTGATTTTTCTTTTAACCTTCAGAATTTTCTTTTAGAGTTTATCCTTCCTCCAGGTGTTAACGTTCCCCTTCTGCCCCTTGAACTTAAAAGACTGGATTTCACCCACTTTATGGGTTATGCACATAAATATATATATATATATATATATATTCCCACTTTGTAGGTTAGGAAAATAAATTTAAAAAAAAACAGAAAGCCTGAACAGTTTCACTTTTGCACTTTGGTTTCCTTTAGTAATAACCAATCTGCTCTCCTATACAAACATGGAGAAACACCAAACTTAGGCAGATATGAGGTCACACGTGAGCATACATGCCACAATTGTATGGTTATTCAGTAAAGTGAGAATTCCAAGTGAATATCAACTTTAAGGATAAATTAAATGGAATTTTAACAGCATTTTGACTATTTTGACCTTAAATTTAAAATTCTCTCTTTTTTTTTTTTAACTTAAGTGAATAGCCCTGTGTAATGCTTTTATTGAAGATAAATTTGGGTTGGCGTATCAGTGCAGGTAGCTCTTTCACTGACTGTTTTTATGCTTTATTGTGTTGTACTGTTTTCTGCTGTGTTAGATCTCGGTAATGGATGAAAAAGGAACTAAAATGTTTTTACAATAACAACAGACTACTATTAGGAAATACACTGTTAGACTGTTAGAATACTTCCCCAAAGCTTCAAGTAAATAAATGTCTGTTGGTTTGTTCGTACCTTTCCACGTGATAAATCAACCAAAAAAAATGTTCCTTTTCACTGCAACGTACATACTCATATGCCGAGAGAAATGGAAAAATGTAAGGTTTCAGTAGCACCAAATCAATTTAATAATATTATGGTGGCAATCATGATCATAGCTTTCCTTCAGGACTTTGCAATGGTATAGTCCAGTGCTCAGATATCTAAACTGCATTTCTTCCATCAACATTCTTGCACCGGTTCTTTGTGATTTCAGCCTGTGCCATTTTTTTATGTTCTTGAGAAGAACAGTTGGATTTCTGTGGCTCTCAGTCATATCTCAAGTGCCAAGGTAAGCTCCAACTTGGTACCCAAAGATAATTCTTGGTATGTCAAGGGAAAACTCAATCCATCTTGATCGATGTAGACAAATTCCCAGTAAACCAGTATAGTCTACCAGTAGTGTGATGGGCCTCTCAGCAAGCGGAAGCTTACCCTGGATCTTGGAAGCTATAAATTATCATGAAATACAAAGAGGATCACTTGGATATTCATACAGGGTGTGGATTGGACAAAGCAAATTGGAGAAAACAAATACCCTTGGATAACAGACAATGTTTCTGTACTGAATGGCAATGTTTTAAACAGTAGGAAAACTTTATTGTGTACAAACCTGATGTCAATATCACTTATTGTCACTACCATTAATTTGATGGCAGGAAATTGTTACAAAAAGCATTTTCATCAAAATTTGATTTGCAAATGCTCAGTTTTAAAAGAAGGCAACAGAAGAGATGAAATTGGTGGCTCTTTTAACTGTAAGAAAATAGAAACCCAATAAATAAATAAAAATAAAAATTCCTCATTATTCATGCAGATGAGATATGTCAGATAACAACTTGAAATAAGACGTTTAGCTCACAAATCGTCATCTAATTCTACACTTTTTATCAGTAGAGATGTCGCGAACCGTTCGCGAACTTCCCACGAACGGCTCGCCGCAGTTCGCCACGAACCATTCGCGGCGAGCTCTGGTCAGCTGACACATCCCGGCCAATCTCCAGCAGACCCTCCCTCCCAGACCCTCCCACCTCCTGGACAGCATCCATGTTGAAGCTGCCTTCAACATGGATGCTGTCCAGGAGGTGGGAGGGTCTGGGAGGGAGGGTCTGCTGGATATTGGCCGACCCTCTGAAGGTTAAAAGAAAAATCAGCATTTGCCTTTTATGTTTATTGACAATGAAGCAGCAAAGATGTTTAAAAATCATTGTTTTTCTAGTGTCATTTCTGAATTACTTGTTGTGTATATACAGCCATAGAATTAATATCCAGCAGACCCTCCCTCCCAGACCCTCCCACCTCCTGGACAGCATCCATGTTGAAGCTGCCTTCAACATGGATGCTGTCCAGGAGGTGGGAGGGTCTGGGAGGGAGGGTCTGCTGGATTTTGGCCAGGATGTGTCAGCTGACCGGAGCTCGCCGCGAACGGTTCGTGGCGAACCGTGGCGAGCCGTTCGCGGGAAGTTCGCGAACAGTTCGCGACATCTCTATTTATCAGTAATGGGAATCTCCAAACTTGGATCAGTTAAAAGATGTTTGTCTGCATCTGGATACATCAGTAAAGACTTGAAGATTTCCAATGGTGTTAACCTATTGGCCATCCATTGAAAAGGAGTTAAGCACAACAATTAGTATTCTGTTCAGAGATATGTGTCTTGGAGCTACAATGAAAAAAGTATTTGACCAAACTATTGTATAATAACATATTTAGCATTTTGCAATTTCCATATGGAATATAATATATATAATATTACATAATATAATCAGCAATGCCTTTGGCTGTCTGTAACCTTCAACCTGCGATGTTATTGAAAAGTCTGCAGCGGCACCAAATATTTTGTATTGTTAATTTAAAGATATCCGCATATCAGGCTTGGAACTGTGATATTAACACAAAAACTGTGAGCTAGGATACTTTGTATGATTTGCCACACTTCAATAAAGAATTGAAAAAAGAAAACCATGAGTTAGGCAATGTCGATAACATTTTATGGATTTGGTGGCATTAATGACAGTAAATTGTCAAAACATTTTTGATTGCTCTGGATTTTTGTGATTACTTTGAAAACAGATGTGTGAAGTGCACATATGCAGTCTAATAGAATTTCAAGCCCTACATTACTAGCCAGGCTTTAAAAGTTACTCGCCACTACAAGCCTAAAGGGTCTAAGGCGAACTCACCAGGGTTGAATTTTTTTTTTTTTAAATTTGACAATTTTAAGTTTTCGTGTAACAGCAATAGGGGTACAGAAGAGAAGTAAGGGAAGGGTGTCATAAAAACATTTTGCGTGTCCTTGTTCACATCTTCCGCCTACGGCGTTTTTTTCATTTCACACACATCGTTATATAATGACACATTTACATTTTCATATATTTTCCCCATCTGTGTATGGGTGAGAGATTGTTTCGTTTTTGTTTTTGTAGGCGATCGACTATCGTCACCCTATGGGGATTTGGGGGAGAAGGAAAATAATTGGAAGGTGGGGAGAGTAGCAGGGAGATAAGGGAGGGGGGGCGGGGGAAGTCCAGTTGGCCGCACCTCTCGAACCTAATTCAGGGTTACGGGACGGGGGGGGAGGGCATATTTTGCCCGTTTGATACTCATTTGGGATTTTCCCTTTTCAGTTTCTGCCAGCTCCTTTGTCATGACCAGGTATAATATGTATGGATGGGGTGAGCTGCATCTTTCTAGTGCTTATATGTGTCTGTCGTTATTGCTTTAACCAACATAATATTAATATTGCAATGTTCATATCTCTTGTTTAATTATATTCTATTACGTTAGGGACACAGCTGTCAGTACCAGGGTTGAATTTATACTCACCAGGGCTACATTTTTACTTGCCAATGGCTAGTGGTGAGTGGAACTTTTGAGAACTGGTCTAATATCACGATGCATTAACTTGCACATGTTCTCACTATCATGAGGGTGACAAAGCTAGAAATGGGGGAGCAAAAAATGCATTTTTCAATGATGTTGAAATTTGGTAGACAAGCCAAAAATCCTGAGATCAATGGCCACTCCTTCATTTTTTTGCTCTAACATTGTCTGTGGTTGCTGATTGGCTATTGAATGGTCTCTTAGCGTGCTGTAAATCACCCTGGGACAGGCTTGAGTGGATATTTGTTCTTATCTCAGCACCAGACAATGTTTGGCAATCAAGATCCATCAAACAACAAAGTATGCACCGAGTATTCCTGTAAACAGTCCATATACAACAAACTTATAGGATGGGTACTTCTACTGTCTTTATGAATGTACTTCGGTGAAGGGTTCTCTGAATAGTCATTCATGCCAAGTCCTCATATCTGTCAGTCAAACAATTTGATAGTACATTTCTCCATGCAGTCTCTGTTGAAGCAGCATGGTATAGAACACCTTCAGGTTTGATTAGTTTGTGGATCACTTTGGGTGTCCACAGTTCCAGCTTGACATTCATTCCAGTTCTTGGAAGGACTCTCCACACACTTCTTGTTACAAGTGTAAATGGGCTAAATAAAGCCCCTTAGTAATATCCCAACTGCTTGTTAGATCCCAATCAGTGTTCACTTTTATGCATGACCTCTAAATGAATGCTAGGGCATCAGAACCTATCCCAAAACAGCATAAACATGTACTTGGCAGTGTGATGAAGCATACACTGAGAACAAAAAATAAAAATAATAATTGAACAACAGAAATAATAAAACAAGGTTGCCTTTTAATCTTTTTTTTTTTTTAAATTTAACTTTTTTTCTCAACATTGAAATGAAAAACAAAGGAGGGATAGCACTCTCTTCACTTGTACAGTACCTAGGGCTGGCAAACCCTCATTCCATATAGTGAAGAAAATGTAGTCCAGGCACTCAGGGTCTTTTTCAAACAGCAGATTTATTAGAGAAAGCTTGACAAAAAAACGAATGTGGATCGAAACGTTGCTGTGTATACTGTGTTTCTCAAATAAATCTGCTGTTTGAACAAGGACCCTGAGCGCTTGGACTACAGTGCCTTCAGCATTAAAATTAAGACATCTTCAACTTCGATATATAAACATAAAAATAGAAATAAACACACACAAAGATAATAGGGTTTGTCTAATGTCTATAAAAAATTATAAGCCAAGTCCAGGAGATACAGTTCGGGATTCTCTCCATTAGCCAAACAATAATGATTCTCTTGATAATTGGATTGTTCAGAGATACATGCAAAAAAGACACAGAGAGAGGGACCAGTGGTGCAGTACTTCAACAACTTAGAGACAACGTACAACATAAACGTGTAAATTTTGCACTCACATATATTGAAGATGGAAATCAGCTGCCGGTCTCATAGCATGCAGTGGTACAATCCCCACTTAAGGATATATCTCATATGAATGTGAGTGGCTCAGTAAGCAGGTGTAGATAAGGAGGGAACTCCCAAAACATGCTCAATAAATCAGGTGTAAAATAGTATAATCCCCACCTTATGGATAATATTGGTGTCCCAGTTTCTTCTTCAACAGAAGCATGGAACATAAAAAAACTGTAAAAAACAAATAGTGCTCTTTGATAGCATTAATGAGTGAATAACAAGTAAAAAACCATACTCACATATTTGAGAGCAGTAAAAACCGCTCACTTCTACAGCAAAGGTGGTACCAAGTATGAATCACACAGAAGTCTTCAGATCTGGATCTTCCACAGGGTGTGAGGAACTGCTTAAACTGTCTTCCAAAGGCTCTCCACAAATGTATGCTTTCCTGTGGTCACATCTAATGGGGCACCTACAGTGGAGGGGTGGGGTGTTCAACCCAAAAGGAATCTGATCTGGTTTCAAATTTACACAGAAAAAAAAGTGTGTTTGCTGCCTTGGGTATTAAATTGTACCCCAAATTAGCCCTTTTCCTTTTTATACTTGTTGATAAAAATAGAAATCTCATATTTATACATTGAGGATACTTTTAATTTATCAACATGTTTTATTACCGAGTACACTATGTTTTATCTAATTTTGTTTGTTCCTTCTATTTTGTGTTCTTGTTACGTAACAAGACCAGTCAAGACCCCTCCCTTCCTGCTCAACAATGTCGCTGCCAGCTCTTTTTATTTAATCCTGTTGAGGCATATTATATCCCCAACGATGACAAAAAACTTGTGTGCCAGAAAAGAGATCCTAAGATCTTCGCAACTGGTCCTCAACCCATGATAATTATAGCCTACCCTGCATTTCCTGGGTTTGCCTGATGTCTACATCTAACAACAAAATCAATCAATTTGAATTAAATACCGTTTCTGTATTAATTAGTTTTTAAGGACACAACAATATCAGTATTTTGTGTAAACTGTTGCATTTAGTTAAAATTGTCTTTTATTTTAAACACAAGCAGCAATTCTTCTAGATTTAAAAAAAAATTACAAATGCCCAAAAATTACAAAAGAAGAAAAAAAATGCACACAAAAAATGTCTGAAGGTCATGAATCTAAGGTCAAGAAAACTGCTCTAGTCTTATTTTATATGTTTGTTAAAATTTGGTAAATGGGAAACCTCAGACAAAAGAATATGTAATTAATAAGTCCTCTCAAGTTAAAAGGTATGTAGAAAACTGTTTGCATTTCGCAACTTATCCTAGTTACACTAAATATTTTAATGCACAAAAGCAAGGAAGGAGAAGACTTTTTTTCATTGTAAAAGCCTGCTGATTTACTGCAAGAGGGCTTGAATTCTTGTATGTGGGTTCCTGTTCTCCCCAAGAGGACTCAAATTGCACAAGCAAAATTAATACATTTCATTCTTAGTAAAATATACAGATTACACCAAAGTAACTATTTCTTGAGAAATACCACGGTGGTGCTCTTTAAATTTACTCGTCCTTTTTTTCACTACATCTTTTAATTCCCCATGGCCGTCCTTAAGTAACACAAGTTCCCATGGCCGTCCTTAAGTAACATTATTTTAGCTATTTGAGTCTTTGGAGGAAGGAAAATACTGTGGGATGTCATTCCTCGTTAGATATCTTCTTGATGCCTATGATTAAAGAATAAAAAAAAAAAAAAAATATCCTTATTGGTGCATTATTAATGTATACAGGTTTTATAATAATTTACTGCCCTCATAATCCATGTCTTTCAAATTAAGTTGACTAAATGAATATGCTTTGCATTTTTTTTCCCCTCAAAGCAAATCAGTTGCCTTTAGAATGTTTAATCACATTTCACATTCTAAAATCATCTGATGGGATACCCAACTTACTATTAAACCCCCCCCCCAAAAACACAATGTGGGATTAATGAAACACGCAAGTGCCTAAACATGCAAGTGCCTCCATATTTTGCTGACATACTTCTAAACACCGCGAACACTTTAACTTTTTCATAAAATGTGAATTTGTGTTGATTCTGCTGAGGTTTCCTGGGTGGAAACATGCATATTATACAAAT